GAGCTGAAGGTGCTCAGAGGGGAGAAAGGGCTGGTGCTGAAATGCTTAAGGGAGCATTTAAGACGAAAGCCTTCAATGAATGAAGAAGGAATGGGCGTGGAGGTGGAAAAAAAGTTGGAAAATGGATTCGCTGACAAGTAAGGATAATAAATGAGAGGCGCTTTCAGATAGATATCTCAGTCGTGAAATTGCACCCAGCTGGTTGTGTAAGCAAACAAATAGTTTCATGTTAGGGACTCTCGACTTGTGGCTTGATGAATAGAACACGACAGACGTAAATGGCTCTTTAACTCATTTAGGAATAAAACTCCTTGGCTTCCTAAGTAAGAGACCTTGCGACGCCGTGGATCCCGAACAAGTACTTTAACAAGAGTTTTATTAGTTTACACTTTTGCTCTCGGATCTCCTCCCTTGTTCACTTTCTTCCTCACACTTCTGTCCTCTCCCTTTTTTTTTGCCTTTGGTATATTTTACTCTTTTTCTTTCTCTTCTCTCTTCCCTTCTTCTCTCTCTCTCTTTCTCCTTTTCATTTATTTTTTTTTCTTTTTCTTTTTTTTTTTTTTTTTTATTTTTTTCTCCTCAAAATCGCCTTGTAAGAGAATTTCCTCTCCCCCTCCCTCCCGTTACCGGTGCTTGGAAACCTGGAAGGTTTGCAAGGTACCCGACCACATCGGGTCTATCCATGGCACCCGAGAGTAGTGGTTTTTGAAATGTGTCATTCTTACTGGACTCCAGAATCACTGCAGAACACTCATGCCCAGTCTCTCTGACCCGCTAGGGATTAAAAAGGGAAGAATGTTTAAAAAAATAAAAAATTCTCACGTCGAAGTCAATGACTGTGAAGCCAAGTAGAAAGGGAATCTTTTAAAACAAATATATAAACACATTTCATGGAGGTCACACCGCTTCTGAATTAGTTCCAAATATGTAAAAGAAATGGGAAGAAAAGCAGGGAAGGGCGAGGGGACCTATTCCTGCCTCTCTCAGTAAAGCAGGGAGATTTCAAGACTTATAAACTAGCGCTTTGAGTAGTCAAAATGTCCCATGAAACCGGAGGAAGCATGTCGACAGTGTTTGTAATAGCCGTGCACACGCGTTCGCGGACACGGCCTGTGAATGGCTGCGCGCCGGGATACGACCGGAGGGGGCGGCTGCAGCAATCCTTGACACCCCCGCTCAGTCCTCCGTCCCTCTGTCCATCCGTTGGAAGGTCATCCAGGCCGGCCGGTGCCACCGTCCCTGCAACCCTGCCTGAGCATCCCTCGGCGGCGGGTCACATCTGCGCTCTGATGGGAAGGGGATGCCTGGCTGCCATACCGCCCGAGTAATGAGAAAAAAACCCCCAAAACAAAACAAAAAAACCCCAAACTCAAACCCTAAACTAACAATAACAAAAAATCACACAGACACAAAAACAAAACCCCAAACCAACCAACCAACCAAAACCCCCAAGCCCCCCCGAAACCCCACTACACAAAAAAAAAAAAGAACCCAAACAAAGAAAAAATCCCCCCCCCAAACAAAACAACCCCAAACCCCTCAAACACACACACACACACACACACACACACACACGCACACACACACCGCCAAACGTAAGGTCCTATCAAGGCCTTTCCGTCAGATAAAAGACTTTTATCTCTTGTGTATGTAGCCAACCAGGTTCCTGCTAGTGAATCTAGGCAGAATTAACTTTTTCTTGTATTACTTCTGCTGCCACTTGCAGTGACCCCTAGCCAGATTCTTCTGTGGCAGACCCTCCATGTACCCCGGCAGGGAAACAGCTTTTTACGTCTGGATCGGCCGGTTTTGCTGGTGGCCATGAGACAGGTCACTCGTGATGGAATCTCATCCCCACTCTTCCTCCCCAGTTCTACATAATTTCGAGGGATACTGGGAAAATGGGAGTTATCCTTTACCGCCAGTCCTGAAGGGGGCTCATCGCCCTCTCTCCTGCAGGTGAGGGGGGTGAATGGAAGCCGAGGCACCCAAAAGGTGCCCCCGGGGGCGAAGGCGTGTCGAGAAGCACTGGGAAAGGGGAAGCAGCAGCCCCTGACGTTTACGGGCGGCCGGAGGAGGTGCAGGCGCGGGCACAGACGCTCACATACACACACGACCCCTGCCCTGGCGCTGCCCCTGCCACCGCCCGCAAACCCCCTCCTCCTCAGCTTGGGTTCAACCTACCACTTAGCAGCATTTCCAAATATTTATTCGATTAAATGTATAGAAAAGGCCTAATTGGGCGGTGGGAGGAGGCAAGCTAGTTAGCGAGGTGCTAAGAGGAGTGGGAGGGGGGGCTTTGTATCTGCCGTGCCCTCAGCGGGTCCCCTGCATGGGGGTGGAGTGGGAGGGTC